AAAAAACTGACCCATTATTAACTACTGATAAAAATGGAAATTAAACCAGCCACTATGCAAATGAGCATGGAGATTCCTCCAGAATTAAAATAGAATAGTGTATACATTCCCCAAAAGAATCACTGTTAGTTTACTATAGCAATACTCACACATACATCTTGATAATGGCATTATTTAAACTATCTAAATTATTCAATCAGCCTAAGAGCCCACCAACAGATCATAGTGGGGAAAAATGTGTACCTGTCATATGGGAAAAATTAGACCAATTCCCAAACCTGCTTTTTTTGGATCAAGAAGAATATGTATCAGAGAACCTTCAGTTCCTTGAGTGGACATGCAAATTCTGTTTTTTCCTGACCTTTTCTGGAGGTTATAGCTTTGGTTATTCACTAGGTCACCATTGTTCATTCTCAAGTCCATGTTTTTCTTGTGTTTTTGAGAGTTTTTTCCTGAGCACACAATTTATCTAAATTTTCTAACATAGATCTAGCCTCCTCTATTATCTCCAACTTTATGAACTGTGTAAATACCTAATCAACATAATCACCTGGCCAAATCTGTCCTAGATAAAATTTTCTGGCAAAAAGTTTGTCATTGTGTTCACTTACTCTCTTCATGCTAGGATGTCACAATGCACAGTATGGAACTAGAATGGCTTTCTAGTTTTCTTGAAGCTTATCAAATTTGTGCATTTTGGTGAGTCTTAGCTTATTTTCATTGGGATAAAAAAGCCACAGCATGGGGCTGGGAAGGTGGCTCAGTGGTAGAGGGCTTGCCTTGCATGCATGAGGCCCTGGGTTTGATTCCTCAGCACCACATAAGCAGAAAAAGCTGCAAGTGGCATTGTCTCTCAAGTGGTAAAGTGCTAGCCTTATGCTGAATAGCTGAGGGACAGCACCTAGGCCCAGAGTTCAGGCCCTATGACCAACCAAAAAAAAAGCCACAGCATGTCTATAATCCTAGCTACTTAGGAGGCTGGGATCTGAGGATTGAGGTTTGAAGCCAGCCTGGGAAGGAAGTTCATGGTCAAGGAAATGCCTGGCCTGAGATGTGGCTCAAGAGCAGCCTTGAGCAAGAAAGTCCAGGATGGGGAAGGCCTTGAGTTCAAGACCCCATCCAAAGACTTTCTCCTTTCCTTCTGCCTCTGATTCTTCTTTCTCAACATCCTGCTTTCCAGACCACTATCTTCTTTTTGGTTTCCTTGCTCTTTCTCCTCCACATCTCCTGCTGCCTGTAACCACTTGAGTTTAAGGATCAGCTTCCAATGAATAGACAAAATCCTAAAAACAAGAAGAAAAATCTTTAAATGTCACTCCCAAGTTTTCTACCTTGTGATGCTGACTGAGGCGTTTTAATTGTATTGACAAAGGGATGTATTGTGCCTCAATCCTTGGGCACCTACTAGACACTGCTCTAAAGAATATTCAGGTAATTGATGCCTTGATATTGACCTTATTGTCTGTTAGGGGTTATGAAACTTAACTCGAAACATCAAATATATTCCATTCAGATCATCAGAAAGACTGGGAAATCTTACCTTGCCTCAAATTACAAGCAGATCACTATTGAGATGAATAATGAACCAAGTAAACCACACCAAAACTAATAATACTTCAGAGGAAAGAGCTTAAGGGAAACAGTTACCCAAAATATAAAATAAATATATTTATTGATGAATTTGGGAGCAGCTATTGGTGGAGGATGATAGGGAGGGGAGTCTTCAGAGCCCACAGATACCAAGCTTTGGCAGCCAGGCTGCTGAAACGGAAACAAAATGACTGTATTTCTGAGATGCAGTTTGTGGTTTCAATAATGGCCTTTGACCAGAAAAAACATTGTTGTTAGGAATGGTCCTCCTGACTGCTTTTAGATTATATTAGTGTCAGGTGCCAATGCAACCCTCCTGTTTGAAAAGAGCACAAGACTCACTTTGAGTCTTCAGTATCCTCCCGGACAAGAAGTGGTAGGCAACAGAGCTCCCAAATACAGGCAAAGTGTAAGGTGGGTGGCGACCCCCTGATCCCATGCTCTTGCAACCTTTCGCGCTCATGTGCTGGCTACTCCAATCTAGATGCTTTAGTTTGAAGAGGAGATTTGGCAAAGGATCTTCATTATTTAAAAAGAATTCTCGGGATTTTTTTTTTGAATGGAGTTTGAACTCAGGACCTTACAATTGCTACAGAAATGCTCTCTCATTTGACTCAATCCCCTGGCCCCTTTTGCTTTAGCTTTCAGATTGGGTCTATTTGCCCAGGTCACCTGTAGACTGTGCTCCTTCTACCAACCTCTTTCCCACAGATGGGGTTACAGGTAGGAACTATACAACCCAGCTCAAGGAATACAACCCTTATCACTTATGAGACTTTCCTCTGTGCCCCCTCCCACAGGGATTCTGCCTGTTTCACTTCAATGTTGCCTCTGTGAAGCTATGCAGAGGTAATTCTGAGATTCTATACATGAAATCCTATGACTTGAAACACCCCAAGCATTAAAAGTGTTATATTAAAGGCTATTGTTCATCATGTGATGGTTTAATAAAATTATATCAATGACATTATACATGCAATATTCTAGACTTGGAGGAAGTTCTAGGGTAGTGCAAATGATTCTATGGAATGAATAGATGTGGTGGAATTGGGCTTAAAGAATCCTTTCTGGATGCAGGAAAATAGCAATCATTTTCACTGACATCATGATTTCAGATGTATTGAAAATGGTCCTGAGGGAATATGGGAAGCAGGTGAGCAAAGAGCTACAAACAAAAGGGGAGTAGTGTGTGTCTGTTTGTGTGTATAACTATTGATATCTGCAAGTGATCAAGATCTGATCTAACCTTAGATGGCATTTCCTATGTGGGTTAGGAAAGTGGAGGGAAGTGTTAACTCATTAGGCTTCTCCTGTTGCGCTACTGAACCCTAGAAGGGACCCTGATCCTGGTCCAAAGGGTCAAGGAGTTTTCCCTTTTCCAACTTCTGAGGTTTGAATCCATCCAGGAAACATTTAGAAACTGGTGGGTCCCAGGCAGGTATACGTTTGAGATTATATACTTATATGAGGTGTGGTTAGATGTTCTTATCCCTGGGGCTACTTTCTATCCTCTGCCCTAGGATTTCCCCCTGCTCCTTTCTTTGAAGTAAGAACCTACAAGTCAGAAGTGTTTGGAGACTACAGAGTGGGGACTTGCCATGAAGAGAAGATATCTGCTGTGATTAATCAAAAGATACTTTCTGTGAGCCCCCATGCTTACAAGGGAGCTCATAGGCTGATTGGAAGGGATAAGGAAGCCTCTGGGGGAAGCCAAGAAGCTACACCTTGTGCATGTGCCCCATGGTGCATCAAGATGGAACCCGCTCTCCATGTTGCCTCCAAGGCATAGGTTAAGAAAGCCCTGGCTTGATTGGGTCTCCTGGGGGTGAGTGCACTGTGGATGTGGCCCTTGGGAGCACTCCAGGTGGGCTCCACCAGCAAATGCTCCTGGTCCTCAAACAACCCCATGTTTCCCGTCCAGTCCTTCCCCTCTCCCTGTAGTACCCCATAAATAGGCATAAATGGATCAGTTGCTGAGGGTTTTTGTTTTTGTTGTTCTTCTTCTGGGTTTTTTTTTTTTTTTGGTCCAGTCGTGGGGCCTGAACTCTGGGCCTAGGCGCTGTCCCTCAGCTCTTCAGCTCAAGGCTAGTGCTCTACCACTTGAGCCACAGCGCCACTTCCGGCTTTTTTCTTTTTTGCTTATGTGGTGCTGAGGAATCGAACCCAGGGCCTCAGGCATGCAAGGCAAGCACTCTACCACTGAGCCACCTTCCCAGCCCCTGGTTTTTTATTTTTAGTTTCTAATTTAAAAAATTATACTTGTAGACATTGATAGAAATACATGAAAATTACAATAACAACAAACAAGTACTTGTCATCTGCTCCTCCAAGATGACAACTCTTAGCTGTTTGGGTTTATTTGCTTCTAATCATGTGTGTATAAACATTTCCATGTAAAATAAACCCCAGGAAGCCCACTTCAAGGTTTGTCTTTCTCCAGTTTATTTAGGAGAGGAGGCTCTGGCTTCCCATGTGCTGCAGCCACTGTAGAGAACTCCTGGTCTCCTCTTCCTCCTCAGCACCACAGAGTGCTGCTCATTCTCTGGGTGTCCCCCATCAGGGCAGCTCCACCTCCTTGTGCTTCAGTTTCCTTGTACATCCCAGGGTACTAGAACATCAGGCTGTAGAGTGTGAACTTATTCTGGGTTTTACGGATGACTACAGGATACTTAAAAGAGTTTACATCTGGAAAACTGAAATTAGAAATTGTTTCTCCTCAGACTTGCCATTCATCAGAATACCAGGAATGTATTAGCCTTACCATTTGGGGCAAAGTCCAATTACCTGCCAGTGCTTCTCACTCTTTCCCATCTCCCCAGTCCTTCTCCACTTCTTAGGGTAGTTTCGCTATCTTTTCAGCTGGCTAATTTGCCTCGTACTGACCTCTAAGCTTTCTTTCCCTCACCTGAAGCACCTATGAGGCTATTATCCTAAAAAAGAGAATTTCTTCCCTAAGAAGGAAAAAAAATATCTTAGCATCCAATTTTCAGTTTGGATAAATCAGAAAACCATGGTCCCAGAGGTAAAATTCTTTGGTCAAAAGCATACAAATTCCAGGTAGATTTTGTAGTCCAGGTAGTTTTGCACCAGGGGGGCCTTCTACTGTGTCCTTAAGAAAAAAAAAAAAAAGGATGCCTAAGGAGAACTAGGGATATTTCAGACTTCTCTTGAGCTACAGCGCTATTTCTGGCTTTTTTAAAATGGAGATAAGAGTCTCACAAGCATTCTCCTATCTGGGCTGGCTTTGAATCACGTTCCTCAGATCTGAGCTTGGATTACAGGCATGAGCCACATAGTTAAGATACCATCCTTACCTGGAAGCTATGCACTGGGATCCATTGGGAAGCAAGGAGGAGGAGGTATAGTTGAGGCTTCTGCATTTTCTATACTCATTAAAAGTTTTGACTTACAGGTTCCTCATTCCCCTTTGTACACATAAGTTCATGGTGCCTTTCCAGTGACTGAGGGGAACTATGCCCTGACGGCTGAACACGGGACGTCCACTCTTCTTCTCCTACGATGGTCATGACATGGGGATTCCAATCCCATATGGCACAAGGATGGTACAAGGGATGCTTAAACACCAAGAGAAATGATGGGAGCATAGGTGAGGGAGTTGCCCTAAAAATGTCAAGGCTTATCCTTAGAACAAAGATGACATGTATCCAGTGTTGCTGGAAAGGGAGAACATGGATAGATTGATAAAAATTTCAAGGAGGCTAATTTTAGTATCTAAGAAACTCCTAAAGGCAGAGGATGTGAGTCACTAAAATGGCAGGTTTGGAGATCACAGACCTAGTGGCTAAGAAATCCCAGATTGCCACATATTCCTCCTTCTGTGACCATGGGCAAATGACTTAACTGTTCCAACTCACAAAGTTGTACAAGTCAAAGGAAATGATATATGTGTAAGTACTTTGAAGGCCGGAACTTGCCCTTCAGGTTTATTGCATTATATATCTAGCTCTCAAAGCTCAAGGTCTAGAACAGTTGCCTAGTAAGGGTTCATTGCATGATTGAATGTATTGGTTCCTAACCCAAAGACAGTTACTATGGTAGGCATTTTCAATCATTTCAAAGACATTTGTGGAACATCTACTATGTGCCAGGAACTGGGCTCAGCACAGTTATCTTTTCTGTCATTACTGTAACTATTATTGTTGTTGTAGCTATTTTGGTAGTGGTAGTTGTCAAACGTGATGGTGAGTATCCCTATGATTAGAAATGCCTAGCAGAGGCTACACGATGAGTTGGTGCTGTTGACAAGGAAATTCATAGGCCTGTTTAAGGCGGAAGCATAATTCTGTTTTTATCTAAGTCTTGGGTTAGCTAATTGACCCAACTTCACAGTTTTGTTTTTTCCATAGAAACACAGTAAAAAGGCAACATTGGTCCTCTAAATTTCCTCCATGTAAATACTACCTGTCACTTGAGTGCCTACTTACTTATTTTCCTTTGATGCTAGGGACTCAAACCTAGGGAACCAGCTATACTAAGCAAGCACTCCACCATTGAGCTCACCACTCAGCCCCTCTTTTACAAGGTGTACTTGGATCCAGTCCAACCAGGTAGTTTCTAGCTTAAGTCCACTCTCCTTGGCAATTAACATCCTGCTTCCTTTTTCAAAAAAATATTGGGAAGTACTGGTTCAGGTCCTGTAGGAAACACTTAATTTCAGTGCTGAAGTAAAGCTATAGATAAGTACAAGGGTTAGGTAATGAGCTGTATGCTGATAATGAACAAATTCAAGGCAATGTGAAGATGAGCAGGAAGGCTCACTTTCATTCAAATCCTCTCATCATCTTCCTAGCTTTTCTGTCTTGTGCTATTGTCTTAGCTAGAGCATGTGGTTGCTGCTTTATGCTTGGGAATGAGCCACCCTCATTATATGGGGGAAAATGACTTTCCAAAGGAAATTAGGAAATCTCTGCTTGGTTGGACAGGTTTTTGTTTTTGTTTTGTTTGTTTGTTTTTTAAATCCTAGTTGTATGTAGCAGGCACAATCTGGTGGTAAAAGAGCAGAGTAGCTGGGTGCCGGTGGCTCACGGCTGTAATCCTAGCTACTCAGGAGGCTGAGATATGAGGATCGTGGTTCAAAGTCAGTCCGAGCAGGAAAATCCGTGAGACTCTTATCTCCAATAAACCACCGGAAAACCAGAAGTGGTGCTGTGACTCATCTTGAGTCTGAAGAGCTCAGGGACAGCGCCCAGGCTGAGTTCAAGCAACCGACAAAAAAAAAAAAAAAAGAGCAGAACTTTCCATCTGAAGGTCACTTCCAACCTGTGACCTTCAGGAGCAGCTTGACTTCTCCCTGTCTTGGTGTTTCTTCTGGTTGGCACAGCAGCTGAGTCTTGCATCTTGGATGGGGGAACGCTCAGCTTTGGGCCTGTAGAGAGTCAGATTTCAAGATGTCCTGAAGTTTCTGGCTACAAGCCAATCAACTTATTTCCCTTGGAGATAGACTAAGGAGCTTCAGAATCTACTTCAGAAACTCAGCCCATTTCTACATTCTGATTGTTCTTCCAGTATTCCAGCATCCTACAAGTTTCCATCTCACATCCATCTCTGGAAGATGGACTTGGAAGGTACATTTACAGAATCTTTAAGATTGATTTATTTTCCAATGTGCTGTACAAGGAACAGTCCTAGATCAACAATTGAGGCTTTTGGTTAAGCGCCTTAGCACAGCACCTGTTTCTAGCTCTTTGAATCAATCTTTACCCCAGAACTTCATCTTCTGGCTACCAGGTTACCTCATGTCTTTAGCCTCTGAACTCTGTTTCACTATTGTGAGTTTTTTTGTAAGTCTTTCACGTTTACTTTTTGTTGTTTTTGTTTTGGTTCCTGACATCAGTTTTTACTGTGTACTCTTTGTTTTTCAACAACTTCTCCTCCCAAGTCTACACCCTATTTCATTCACCTTTGATGTATCCATTCACTCATCTTCTGGGCATTCCACTAAGAGCTGGCTTCAAAAGTGGGTCACTTGTGCTATTGCATAGGACCCATATCCCAAAGCATATGTTCTGTTGTTGTCTTCTTGAACTTCTTAATAAGTTTGTAATTGAACTAGTATTTGTAAGTGAATCTGATTGGACCAAGGATTATGTGTATGAAGAAGTAAGCATGATACTGTTCTTTGCAGCCCTGGTCACATATGTATTCATAACATCCCATGAACCCAGAATTAAGAGTAGACTCAAGATACATGAACATTCACCAAAACTCAAGATTAAGGATAGATAGCAGTGGCTCATCCTGTAATCTTAGCTATTTAGGAGGCTAATATCTGAGGATCCTAGTTCCAAGCCAGCCCAGGCAGCTGCATCTATCTCCAATCAATCAGCCAAAAGCCAGAAATGGAGGTATGGCTCAAGCAGTAGAAGCCCAGCCTTGAGCAAAAAAGCTAAACAAGAGAGTGAGACCCTGAGTTCAAGTTCCAGTACCAGCATACACACACACACACACACACACACACACACACACACACACACACACACCTCAAAGCAAGCACAGGTAAAGGCATCGGGTGGATAAGTTAGTAGATATGTGAACAGTTCCCAGAGGCCACCCTCTTCTTTGGGACCAGAAGTTGCTTCAAATCCAGAAAGAAAACAACGGGGTCCTAAGAAATACAAATGGTCTACAAATCCTTTCTTACTTTCATTCCTTATCTATTAAGTCAACCACTTAGTTATGTTGAAAATGATGTCACGAAAGAAAAGGGCAAGGTAACCTACAGTTCCTTCTCCTTTCCTTGTCCATCAGCAACCCTGTGGAAGACCAACGTGTAAAATATGGAAATAAGGGATACACAGAAACTAGATAAAAAGTCTGTTTTGTACAACACTGTCACTGTTCTAGTAGGAATCAGTGACTCATGCATGCATGAGCTATGCGGTTGAACTGTATGATTTTTATGATTCCACATACTAATGCTTTTATATTTCCATACAAAACTGGCATTGCATGAATCACATATGAATAGCAAAGCTCATACCAATAATATAAAACTTTTAATTTTCTTATGATGCTAAATAGCAATTTAAAAAGAATATAAAAAAGCCCCCCAAAAAGATAAAAAAGCTTTATCTTTTTTTTGATTTTTTTTTTTTGAGATAGAGCCTTATTATGTAGCCCAGGTTAAACCTGAACTTGCTATATAGGCCTTGAAGTCAAGATCTTCCTGACCTAACCTCCCAAATGCTGGAATTACAAGAATGTAACACCATACTCAGCTAACTTGTAGGACCCTCAATGACATGTTTTCTCTGCTTTTGGAACAAGGAGTCCCACATTTTCATTTTGTATTGGCCCTGAAATTTATATAACTGGCCCTGAGCCCAGCCCATAGCTTCAATATATAGCCACAAGCACTAATAAAACTGATTTCAGGGCTGGAAGTGTAGCCCAGGTGGTACAGATCCTACCTAGCAAGCTGGAGGTCCAAAGCCTCAGTACAATGAGAAGGGATATATATATATATATATATATATATATATATATATATGAAATATATAGTCACATATATATACACACATATGTATATGTGCATATACATATATTTCTACATTGATGTGTATATATAGTATTATATATAGAACTATACACAATTATACATATGTATACAAATACATATGAAGGTGTATATGGATGGATATTATGATTTCAGGGGGCACCATCCCAGGATTTCACATACTAGTATTGGAGCTTCAACTGGGACCAATGAATATTATCTGCCCCATCCAAATTTAGCTATAAATATATAGAAAATGGGGGTGAAACAAAAGGCCACAAGGTATTTCAGGGATAGAGGTGCAAGTGTCTAGACTTTGAATCTAGCCTCATAACTCTGTTGGCATCCACCATCACTTTTGGCATTTGAGCCAGGGCCATTATTTGAAAATACCAACAAAGGCATTATGTGTTACATCTCTTGGGTCGTATTCCAGTTGGGGCCACCATAGTCATGCAGGAAAGGTTCTTCCCTGTCAAGAGTTTCCAAGACTCCAGAGGAGTCTTGTGTCTCATTGAAGGTCAACAAGAATCCTCCATATGGACCAGATTCCTAAGTCTTCCCAGGCAGATCAGCATAGCTTTTCTAATCAATGTATCTGAACCATATAATTTTCTGAAGCAATAGTATACGTCCTACCTCTTCCCTTGACTTTCCCTGTGAAGAAAGAAATGCAAAATCTCACGCAGAGGCCCTGAATAATTTGGCCAGATACTTCCCAAACAACAAGGAAATCCACATGAGAACAGACAATAGCCTGGGGCACTTAGCAAATCATGTGTACACCTTTTTAGTGACTCCAGGCCATCCAGATGGGTCTTAGACTAACATCTCCATCAAACTGCAGCTGCTCCCCTTGCTATTCTTCAGCAAGTTTTCAGATAAGAGTATAAAGGTCCACTGAACCTAATTTTCCTCCAGAAGCTTCTTGTGTGGAGCACAGATGCTCTTAGCAACAAAACTTAATTCTCCAAGTATTCTGGGCTAATTCAAGTGCCTTCTTGATCCCAAACCTTTCACTCTATGTGGATAATGCCTTGGGGGAAAAAAAAAAGGTATCTTCAGATTGCTACCAACTAGAGCCCATTGAGCTGCTTAGCTGGCACTGTAGCCCATGGAAGGGTTGGCTGCCTTTCTGCCAGAATGTTCCTGTAGTTGCTGGTCTCCTTCCTTTGAGCAGGCCCATGAAGGAAAAGACTATCTCATGGGCAAGGCTGCGCTATTCCACTGTGACAACAATGCCACTGATCATCTCTCCTTTCTTCCTATCCATTGATGGAAATGCAGCTGTGGCTCAAGAGGTAGAGTGCTAGCCTTGAGCAAAATAAAGCTCAGGGACAGCATCCAGACTCTGAGAGTTCAAGCCTCAGGACTGGTATTAAAAAAGCAAAAACAAAACTCTTAACTTTCTATCTATTGATAGCTGAAAATACACATTTAAATTTTTTACTTGAAATAAGCCTCATGAGAGCAAGGGAAGGGTGACATTATCCCAAAAGAAATGTACTCATTTCCTGACTTAGGTAACTGTAACCACCCCCTGTACATCACCCTTATAAAAACAATAAAATAATACAAATGTAAAACTAAAAGGAGGGTGATGGAGATGAGGGAGAGAGATGGAAGGGGTGAGTGTGATCAGATTTATTGTATAAATGTAAGAGAATGACATTGAAACTTCCACTTACAATTAATACACGTTATTAAAAATCTTTAAAAAAAGAAAGAAGTCTTATGAAAATACTTTAATAAGTCTAAAATACCAGACTTTGTAAAATGTAATGGTAAGCAGTATTACAAGCAGGATACAGAATTTTATATGTGTGTGTGTGTGTGTGTGTGTGTGTGTGTGTGTGTCAGCTTTATAAACATTTTACATTTATAGGAAAAAACAATGCAATGCATTTCTTTAGGTGATGATTGAAAGGGAAATTTGTATTTACTTCTTCGACTGTTTTGCTATTTTCAAAAGGAAAACACATATTTTAGCTCTCTCTTACTTTTCCATCTTGTAAGTAAAGATACTTCACTCTATTAGGTAGGACTTCCAAGAGAGATGTAATTGGTTTTACTTTTCACCCCAAAGAAAGTCAAAATTAGATTTTTCCTTCTGTGTGAAACCACCTTTCCTTCCAGTTGCTGCATCTTCTGCACCAAGATACAGACTTTGGCCTTGACAAGATTGTTCAGTTTACAGTCATTCTTTCCCTTATTATGGAAGCTGTGACATTTGGGAGTATGTACCCCTATTGGAACTTTAAATCAAGGTCCTGCATTTCTTTCTCCTGGCTACCATGGCTAAGAAATGAAGAATTCTCTCAAGTGTGGGATTTGGGAGACCATCTGAGACCAGCTTCCAAGGAGGCAAAGGCCCAGAGGATGCTTTCTGCATTAAAGTGTGAGGGCAAGAGCATTAACTTTGGAGTGGACTGGCTCTGTACCCTTCTAGTTTTCCTTTATAAAATGGATGTCTCTTTTTAATGGATGGTTCTATTTCTTTTAGATAGGTTATATTTTAAAAGAAGTGTATGCCAGTAAGATACCTAACAGTACACACAATAAATTATTAATATTAAGTGGTAGGCACTGGAGAGGACAGCAGAGGAGAAAAATCTACTTTCCATTCTCTTACCACTGAGGGTTCCCCTCCCCAAAAGTGTTCATGGAGCAAGAATGGAAGTGGAGGGGCTGTCCAGACCTCGGGCCCCACCCTGACCCTGACTTGACTGGCCTGACCAAGGACACATCTTTAGTTTCACTAAGGAAATGTAACCACTTCTGGGGTGGAGAACAGTCAGTGCTAGCCACTGGCTAAGAGCCAAAAGAGTGGGGTGTGGAGTAGTCTTAGAACACTGACTATAAGGCTCCATCCCTAACATCAGATCACTCCATTATCCATTCAGAACAACTCTTCTTCCACCCACCACTACTCTGCCCTTTTACTATTCACCAGGCAACAGCCAGGATGCCAGAGACTTACAGGAAATAGAAGTCAACCAGTCTATCACATCACATGTTCAAAAATTCCATTTTGGCTATACCATCATTTTATCTGCTGCTATTATTGGTAGTGCCATTATGGCTACCACCATTTCTAAAACTGCTGCTGCTTTCCTATTGCCATGCATCCTTTAAGTTTCTAAACTACTTTGCCATGTACTAAGTGGTCTGGGTTTTATCTGATTAAAGATGGTAACAGACCTGGGTTTTGGGGATAGCAGAGGTAGGCTGGGACTACTAGAAATTTCGCAGGGAGATCTGCACTGGGGAACGGTGTTTATTTCCATCTCCAAGTGCCTGGGCTCCAGACACCTCCACCCTCCCTGCCACACCCAGTCACACTCCTGGACCCAACTCAGCTTCAACAGGCCACAGCTAGTTTAGGCAGCTTCAAGGGTTAAGGAACTAGAAATGGTCTTTAACTTGGTCAGAGTAGCTCAACTATGCCCATAATTCTGCCAAATCTAATGGGAGAATTCTTTTTCAAATCCAAGGCCAATGTCCCCCTGCCCATCCTCTTCCAGGAAAAGACTTTAGAAAGACCTAGAGTTTTTCCTTTTTTTTTTTTAACAGACTTCAAATCATCTGCGAAAAAAGCAAACAACACAAGACATTTGAAGACACGTTTAAAATATTTTAACTACGGACTCTAACCTTGTCTCCAAAGTGCACTGTGGAATATACATCATCTAAGCCCAACAGAAGCCCTACTTTTCCCCAATCCTGAGTTGGGCGGGAAGAATGAGGCAGCAGGTTGAGACCCCAACTCCTAGGGACCTTTGGAGATGGGTTTTCACCTGGCAACCTGAGCTCCAGCAGTGCTCAGAGAGAAGAAAGTGACATTTTGGAATCCATTTTGCTTAAGATGCAAGAAGGCATTGTGGCACACTCCCCTTGGCTAGCGGGGCCAGAGAACTAGGGGAAGGATGGGTTGGGGGGCGCTGTTTGGTTTGCGGGGGGGGGGGGAGACGAGCGGGTAGGTTAGTAGACCCACCCACAGGGAAACGCAGGGCTAGTGATGGATGCAGAGGCCCACCCAGAGTACGGCTACTACGTCTGTGGACTCAAGTCCACTGGCGAACAGGAGCCCGTCTTTGCCAGACCAGCTGGATCGCCTTCTGCCTGCCCAGCCATTTCAAGGCAAGATTTACGATGTGTGCAAGCAAAGGGACAGGAGATGATTCTGGCCTTAAGGCGGTGTCACCCTGAAAGTCACACTTCCCCCCCCCTTCCTCCACAAAACTGCACGGAGTGTGCACTGGGCTGGGACTCCGTCCCTGCCACCGTCCGCCCAGGGTCAAGGCCCCGCGATGGGGCGGCGCGCGGGGCAGGCGGGCGGGCGGCGGGCGGAGGAGGGGCGCGGCGCGGCGCGGCTCACCTGCCAAGCTGTTGTAGCAGTCGATCTCGATGGCTTCCACCGTCTTGCTCTGCTCCTCCGAAAGGCGGCCGGGTTTGGAGGCTCCAGCCGGCGAGGCTGGGCGCGAATCCCGCTCCCGCTCCCCGGGAGGTGGCATCAAGCCCTTGAGCTCCAGCAGCGCCCGGTGGTATTTGCCGATGGCTTCGCGGAATTTCTTGTCCTTGTAGCACTGCGCCCCTTGGCTCTTGAACTCGTGTGCGCGCCGGATGAGCTCCGCGGGCTCGGCCGCCGCCCCAGCCGGGCCCCGCGCCGGAGTCCCTCCACCACCTCCGGGGACGCACTGTGGCGGCGGCGGCCGCTGCCCCTCACCGACCACGGGCGGGCTCGGGTTCCCCTTGGCCCCGGCCGCCGGGCTCTTCCTCTCCATTCGGCCGCCACCCCGGGCGCCCCGAGCGCCGCTCAATCCGCCCGCCCGCCCGGGTTTTAAAAGCGGCGGGCGCTGGCCCCACGCCTCGCTGGCTCCGCCGCGGCCGTGACACCCCGCGGCGCCCCGTGGCCCCGCGCTCCCATTCTCCTCCCCAGCTGTCGGAGGCTGCTGTCTCCTCCTCCTGGGATGGCTTCCCTCCCTCCCTCCCCACTCCCGGGCGCCCGCCCTCTTCCCCGCCCTCCTCCCCTCCAGCAACCTGCCGGCGGCAGACACCCGACCCTCGCGAGCGCGCGCGCCCTGGGGTTCTTGGTTTTGGGGGGGGACCGTGGGCCTGATTGGGGTGGCGGTGAGCGTCGCTGACCCGGAAGAAGCTGGGCTTGCTCCAAAACGCGGCGTATTTATGACAAAGGGGGCCCCCGCGCCCTTTTCCATTCAATCCAGCCTGGGAGGCGCGCCTAGTCGGAAAGGGACGAATGGGGGAAGGGAGCGAGTGCGCGCCTGTGTGCGCGTGCGTGTGTGCGTGTGTGTGTGTGTGTGTGTGTGTGTGTGCGCGCGTGCGTGAGTGTGCGTGTGTGCGTGTGTGTGTGTTAAGGTGGATCGGCCTTGGCGAGGCATGCAGATTCATTCTCACTAGATTTCTTAGTAAGGGGGAAGGTGCGGTGGGGAGCTAGGGAAGTGTGCACGAGCTGGAATTTTTGTTGTAGGCGCTCTTCGCCGTACAAACATTGCTCTTTGGAGGGGACAGGGCGTCTTCGCCGCGGTTGTTGTTGTTTGTGGATCCAGGTTGTGGCCGTGGCGTGTCCCCGGGGCGCCTAGAACGCTGTGCGCACGTCAGCGTGTGGGGCGTTGTAATCCCCGGAGTGTGCGTGCGCGCGCAGCCTGGCCTCGGGAATCACAGGTTCCCGAGATGGAGACACCTGTTACTGCCGGTTGGTCGTGGGGCTTGGCGGGTCCGGGGTGGCCACTTCCATTATTACACCATTCCGCGCCCTTCCTGGGATCCGTTGCTCCCTCCTCTGTTTCAGTCCACGCTCAGCGCTTGCTGGAAATTTGCTACGCGAAGATGGGCAAGTTACCCCTTGTACTGTCTGTTGGGACACACTGGACCAGGTGGAGATTGGAGAAATAGAAAGCTCTGTACAGCGCTGGGGAGGAGAGCGACCGGGGAAGGGGGCAAGGAAGCGGGGGGGGGGGGTGTTTACAGAAGGAAAAGCATTTTATGGCCGGGAGGATGGGTAAGATTTGGGCATAAGGAAATAAGCAGGAAATGACAAGGCATTCCAAAGAAGTGGTGGTATTTGAAATCTCAAGGTGTGTTAGAGACATAGTGGTTTTATTTTATTTATTGATTGATTTCTTTATGTTTTGCTTAGAAATACTGGAAAAATGATTGAGATGAGTTATGGGAACTTTGGGATGAAGATGACTTTTGTAGTCAGTGAAGGAGTCAGGCATTCCTTTCTTACTTTTTTCTTTTGGGGGCGGGGTCCGGTCGTGGGTCCTGAACTCTGGGCCTGGGCGCTGTCCCTCAGCTCTTCAGCTCAAGGCTAGCGCTCTACCACTTGAGCCACAGCGCCATTTCTGGCTTTTT